CCTTGAAGGCTGTTTCTTCTGCTCTGAAATGGAATATATTTGTTACGTATTGTTACGTGCCGTAGTGTTTGTGTGTGTGTGTGTGTGTGTGTGTGTGTCTTTCTCTCTCTCCCTCTGATTCCCCAGGTGCAGCCTGATTGTCCCCAGGTGCAGCCTCTCCCCAGGTGCAGCCTCTCTCCAGGTGCAGCCTCTCCCCAGGTGCAGCCTCTCTCCAGGTGCAGCCTCTCCCCAGGTGCTCCCAATCCTCAATCAGGGCCTCCATAAAGGACCTGAGGAAGGCTGCAGTCGCTCTCTCCTTCTCCTCTGGCTGCAGCATGTCTCTGTGTGAGGCCTGTGTTCTTGTGAATTGTTAGATGTGCTCCAGTTTACCTTTTCGTGTATTGTTTATTTTAGTTTGCAAGTTGGCTGGTGAGCCCTTTTTCTTTTGTCCATTAAAACATCACTTTGTGGCTTCAGACAGGTTCCTCTCCTTTTTCTCTCGCCCGGTTATTTTGGTGTTTTGTTACGTTCCCTCCTAACTAGGGCTACAAAGGGAAGTAACACAACACCTGGGGAGAGGCTGCACCTGGGGAATCAGAGGGAGAGAGAGAAAGACACACACACACACACACATACACACACACACACACACACACACACACACACACACACACACTACGGCACGTAACACGTATTAATAGAATTTTAGATTTTTTTAATTTGATTTTGGATTTGTGAATGGGAGAAGTACCAAACACTAATTATTCAAAGTAGAGTATTTCATTTTATATACGGTAATAATAAGGAGGCATAGGCCGATATCATGTTAGACATTATTGATATTAAAAAAGTGATTTGTTTTCCATGTCATTCGTGTGTTTTCTTATCAAAAAGTGAAGTTATTTATTCGTAAAATCCAAATCCAAATGTTTCCCTCAATGGCCTTTGCGCCCTGAAAAATGGTGTGACACCAAAGGCCAAATGGCCTTGCCCCTAAAATGACGAAAATCCAAGCCTGGTCACAACAATGAAAATATGAAATATAAAATGTTTTGTAAATTAGAATAAATACAGAGGTAAGACATTGATGATAAAAACAGGTTGTTGCTTAAAGTGTATATTGTCAGAGAGAAATAATAAGTTTTGTTATTGCACATTTTAATAATTGCACAGGTTGCATTATTAATTTACGTGCAAGATCCCCATTGGAGGAGATATTGTAAAAGTCTGCTTGTTACTCAAAAGGCATTGGATAACTTGGAGTCGATTGTAAAATGTGACACCGTGGCGTTTAGTTCCCCCAAAAACTCCTTTTCACTTTTTTCATTTTGTGTCGCACCGTGGGTTTTGCAAAGCTACATTTATAGCTAAATATCTGAGGAATATTAACTAAAAGTATTAAGCGTTTTACTTTAAGTTCTTATATTTACATATTTTAATTAGTTGTGTTCTAGAATGGAGCAACTCTCATGAAACCACTTTTGTGTATATGTATTTCCTTTTTCCAGTCTTGTAGAGATAAAGTGTCCTAATGCAGATAACAGGTTATCTTAAAAATGACATCAGCCTTGGCTGATGTTTTAATCAAAAGCGACTAACAATAAAATTGCAAAATAGATCAAATAATGTAATTGGAAAGATGTCAATCGCAAAATCAGTCAGAAAATGTGCAGAAAAACCCCAAATGTCTGATAATCCACTCCATATCATTCATACATGATCTCATTTACCGTACTATAAACAATGAGGTAAATAGTTAAAGTTATTTTCTACCTGCTGCCATCTCCAGAAGGACCCGTCACTGTTTCTGAAACGCTTCTCTTTTCTGCTGCTTCGTGACAAACGGTTTCCTCTCTGATGGATCTGTATCTGCTTCGTGTTCAGACGTCTGTCCTGACGCTTCTTACACAAGTTGAGGTCAGCGCCTTGTTAGAGTTCACGTTTGTCTCATAAACACCTCTTTGTATGTTTTGACATTTCAATTAGATTATGCTTTTATGCACATTTACCATCAAGTGAATATTAAATTAAAGCACATTCGGGACACGACAGAAAACATTGCTTTTTGAGAGCTTTGCTTCCTTATTATGTCGATTTGATTTATATTTCATTTATATTTCATTGATTATTCCATTCCATGCACACTAAATAATATCCTTCTTAGATTGTGTTAACAGAAAATTGTGCCCTTCAAAAGTGTTTTTACTCGTCAGAGAGTTTATAGATTTATTTTGTCTTCATGGACATCTGTATACTTTTCTTACTCGCTGGTTTATTTATATTTCTTTTAATTTGTTATTATGTGCAATGCCTTTTATCTTATTTTATCTTAAAGGGGACCTATCATGCAAAATGCACTTTTTGATGTCTTTTATACATAAACATGTGTCCCGGTGCGTCGGGGAACTCACGCAGCGTCAGAAAAAAAACCCTCTCTCTTTTCCTCCGTACCCAAATCTTTTAAAAACGGGGAACAACGAGCGGATACAGATTTGCTGCCGATATGACGTAATATCGGAAGGTGGACCCACAGAGAGTTGCTATCAGAAACAATGCCTGACGTGTTTTGGACGTCTTTGTTTACATTAGCCTCGCTAACACTCAGAGCTAACCTGTACTGGAGAGCACATGTGTTTAAAAAGCAGGAAATACAAAAGTAACTCACCTTGTGATAAACCTGAGAGAGAAAAAGCATTTGAGCTCCATACTGTTTCAGAAATAATCCTTGATGTGGTTTAAACAGGATGGCGTTTTATCACAGCAGAATGTAACTTTATCTCCGGTAGAATTTTGTTCAGGCATTAGCTCCGCCTCCTCTTTTTTCTTTTCAAACTAAGGACCCAAAATCTGCGTTTCTCTAACAGGGTTGCAAAAGAGGGGTTTGAGCAGAATGAGGCATGGCTACAATGGAGGATCTGTTTGGGATGTTAAGCAAAACACTTCACAGACATGTACAGTATAGGTATGGCCCTACAATATATGTTTCAATATAGCATGATAGGTCCACTTTAAGTGAAAAAAAAAAAAATCAAAAAACACATTTAGTGTTTGTTCCATGTGAGAGTGTATTTTATTATGTCTGGTAGTTTTTTATGAATCATCTTCATCTTCAAAATGTTCATCTCTTCATCTTTTCATTCCACAGCAATGAAAGAACAACAAAGCATCTGTTTTATTGTAATTCATAACAAAATAAAGATTTCAGGGTACATTTCTGTTCCCCTATAATGATATATTTATCATATATATATATTTATTTACAAGGCTCTTAAGATCATCATAAGCGGCTTGTACAACATCCTCTTTTTTATTCACTTCATGTAGCACCACCCTTTTCCAATCCATCTATCTATCTATCTAGCTATCTCTCTCTATCTCTCTCTCTATCTATCTATCTATCTATCTATATATCCATCTATCCATCTATCTATCTATCTATCTATCTATCTATCTATCTATCTATCTATCTATCTATCTATCTATCTATCTATCTATCTATCTATCTATCTATATATCTATCTATCTCTCTCTATCTCTCTCTCTATCTATCCATCTATCCATCTATCCATCTATCTAGCTATCTCTCTCTCTCTCTCTATCTATCATCTATCCATCTATCCATCTATCTCTCTCTATCTCTCTCTCTATCTATCTATCTATCCATCTATCTAGCTATCTCTCTCTATCTCTCTCTCTATCTATCTATCTATCTATCTATCTATCTCTATATATCTATCTATCTATCTATCCATCTATCTAGCTATCTCTCTCTATCTCTCTCTCTATCTATCTATCTATCTATCTATCTATCTATCTATATATCTATCTATCTATATATCCATCTATCTAGCTATCTCTCTCTATCTCTCTCTCTATCTATCTATCTATCTATCCATCTATCTATCCATCTATCTAAGTTTGTGGCCTTCGTTATTTAAATTGTAATTATTATTTAACACACTATGGTTAGACTTGCAGTGCGGACCTGTGTCTCCATTACCCTTCAGTTCATGTCTGATATTTAAAAAATACTGCAGACCTTGTCTTGTCTTGTCCTCACTAACACTAAGAAAGTGGATCATCATTCCTGTTCTGAAGTCTTTACACTGGCTTCCTGTGTGTCAAAGAATAGATTTCTAAATACTGCTGCTGGTTTATAAAGCACTGAATGGTTTAGGCCCAAAATACATTTCTGACCTCCTGCTAAATGATGAACCATCCAGATCTCTCAGGTCTTCAGGGACTGGTCAGCTTTCTGTCCCCAGAGTCAGAACTAAACATGGAGAAGCAGCGTTCAGTTATTATGCTCCAAATATCTGGAACAAACTCCCAGAAACCTGCAGGTCCGCTGCAACTCTGACTACTTTTAAATCCAGGCTGAAGACTTTTCTTTTTGTCGCTGCTTTTAATTGAACTATTCATATCTTAGACTGCACTGTAACTTTTATCCATGTACTTTTTCTTTTAATGTTTATTTTATTAGCTTTTATTTTTAATGACTGATTTTAAATGCCATTTTCTTAATGTCTTTCATTTTTTGTAAAGCACTTTGAATTGCCTTGTGTTGAAAAGTGCTATATAAATAAACTTGCCAGGCCTTGCCTTGATCTTCAGGTGGAAACTTCCTTTGTTTTGTGGCTGATAAATATTTCCTTTTTTGGTGAATTCTGTGGTATTTTTCACAAGTCATCCTCTGTGAAAAGGTCAGAGAGTGTCACCTCTCTGTGTTCACCTTTTCCTGTTTTCCTTCCTCGGTAACCAAACAGAAACCAGCTGGTTTGATGATTCAGGTTTCCCAGTGTGTTGCTGTGGAATTGGAAAGACCAGGATGACTTCAATATTTATTTAAACACACTTCAAATTCCCCCCCGGCCTCAGGATATATTTTACAAAGAATAATCAAGCTCTAAAAGACTCATCATATGTGGCAAGAACACTTTGCACACGTTGTTTCTCTTATAACGGAAGATATATGCAAACATCCTCTCTTTTTATGCACATAAATGATTCGGAAAGTCAGGTGTTTTGAAGAAAAGTCTTTATTTGCAGTGCATTTACATTCAGGTAACATTTTCCAAGTGTTGCATAGTCCTTGATGCATATTTGGTTTTACAATCTCCAGGAAACAAAGCACACAGTAAGTCCAGGAAACTTCACCTGAAGGCTGGTTTGAGACGAACGTACCGGCTCCGTTTAGGATCAGTGGTGCAGAGATTGTGACAGATGCTACATGTTTACTTTTTAAAGAACAGAAAGTTAAAGAAACTCTAATCCTAACGATTCATAAGAAGTCTCTGGGGCGACCACATCCAGAATCATGTCTCCGGTCTACCTCTTCTCTGAGTTTGATTTGATTTAAAACCCTTCCAGTTCTCTAGGCTGTAGTGATTGTTGATTTGACCCCAACAAGTTATCCAGTTGCAGTTTTCGGAAGTCTTTTTCTAAATATGATAGAACTCTTAATCTGTAGCTGCAGAAACGTTCAGTAAAAGTGTGTTTAGACTGAGTGTAGTGGACGAGAGGATTGATTGTATACAAATGGAAAACAGACTTGCTTTTGGTCGTACCAGAAAGTTATAGAAACTTTCATTAGAAGTCTTTGGGATGACCAGAACCAGGTCTCAGGTGTACCTCTGCTTTAAATAGGCTGTGATTTCAAAATGCTCCAGTTCTCTGTGGTCAATGAAGAGAAGTCTCTAAGTTTCTAGATTGGTATTTTGGACTAAGAGCAGCGTGTATTTGACGAATGGTCTTGATTGTCTAAACATTGGAAAACAGACTTGCTATGAGCGGCATGAATAGAGTTAAAAAGAGATATTTGAGACAGTTTATAATATTTTAACCTTGGTTAAAAAAAGGGCTTATCTTGAATTGTCTTTCCCCTCTGAAAGGAGTCTTTTCTCATCTTGACTTGGTCTTGTTTTTACGGATGAAAGCTCCAGAAGAAGCCAGAACATTGAATGCAGATTTGTCAGCTTTAGCATCTGTTAGCTGTTCTGTGGGCTCAAGCTTGAATTGATCCAGATAAAATGAAGAGAGGAAAAGCAAAAGCCCAAGAATTTAGAATAACTGGAGGCATCAACGCTCAGGAATGGAACATGTTTTTGTGGACTTTTTCAAGTACAAGTATCTGTCATCGTTTTGCAAGAGGTAGGCATTGAAGAAACACAGGAAGTCTCTTCGTCATTATTATAATTCAGATAAAGTATGTGCCGTCTCTTACTTCCTGTTCAGTGTTTCGTCATAGTTCTGTTCTTCAGCTACAGCCACAACAAGATGAAACAATTAAACAGAACTTTGGATTAGATTCTTCCAAACTCAGACATAGTAACATCAATCTCTGTATAATAACTACAACACAAACCTGTTTGTACTTATATCCATATAGAAAGAATACAGATATGTTGAAGTCCATAACACCTATAACATATGTCCCAATAACTCAAAGTATGTAGCATATCCCAACATGCCGTACTTCAAGAGTATAATGTAAGTAACAGTACAAAAAATACATACTTCATGTATAATCAAGTGTCATGCTGTTAGAAATAACAGCAATTCTTAAAGGGTGCCTTAAAATCACCACAGACCAAGCGTCTAATATTAGTGATTATTGCACCTACATATGGCTGTGAGTAGTAGCACCCATTGGTTTTTAGATGTGGCTGTTGTACCTCCGTAAAACAAAATGGAGGATAATCCTGCAGTTAAATCCGTAATCCCTCCAACGCTAGATGATCTCCTCATCGTTGGAGGTGACTCCGTCCACTCTTAAACAAACATACATTATTTTCTAACGTTCCTGGAAGAACGGATGCAGTTGTTGGCGAAATAGGCAGTGCAGATTGTTGCAGAGGTCAAATACAGTTCACCTGATTAACTGAGGTACAATCAACCCAACTGCACGTCCAACCTGTTTCATGTAAAGTGCTATCACACTCCTAAAAGAGAAGGTTACCTTTTAACACCATTTGTTTTTAAAGTTCTTCTTTAACTTGACAATGTGTGTTAGTATTTCCTTTAATGGCCACCAGTGTCTCCTAGAGCAGTGGTTCTCAAATGGGGGTACACGGACCCCTAGGGGTACGTTGGAGTACTGCAGGGGGTATGTGAGATTTATTTTATGTTGATGAAAAAATAAATAAATAGATAAATATACCAGTTTTAGGAAAAGTAACGAAGTTTGAGCAGCGTGGGTTTTATATTAACAGAGTTTCACATATTTCAAAACATGAAGTGTAATAACTGCAGGTGCCTCCCTGTCGGAATGACAAAGATCCTCAGTGAAGCTCAAGCCCATGTTTCACTAAATTGAAAGTATAACTTATTCAAAAGATCAGTTCAATGCAACTAATGTCGTCTCAGTGTTATTGCATGATGTTAAAATTGGTTGGCCATTAATTTAGTGATGGATTGTAAACATTTGAAATGTAGCATTTAAGTGTTTCTCAGTTACTGTTGTTATTTTAACAAATCAGACACTGATCAGAACACTCTGCCCCTCCATGTGAGGTCGGCCCCCGGGCTTTTAAATCCACACTGAAGACACACTACTTCTCTCTGGCCTTCTAGTTAGAGTGGGGTCACGACTCCTGACTGTTCCATGTGTTGCTTTATCTGTTGTGATGTAATGTGTTTTTGTGTGTTTAAATTACATGTACAGCACTTTGGCTCGACCAAAATCGTTTTTAAATGTGCTCTACAAATAAAATGTGATTTGATTTGATGGTGCAGCGCTGTACTGTACCTCTTTATATAGGCTTTTCCCCCTAACAAATTGTTTTTGCGCTGATCAGGGGGTACAGTACTTGGCTGCATTTTTTTTTCAAAGGGGGAACATTATTGAAAAAAGTTTGAGAACCACTGGTAGAGAGGATGAACCTGACTGACTTTGCTTTTCCACTGTCTGTTCCTGTGGCGCCACCATGAGGTTGACTTTGGTGGTTTTGAAGTCAAATGTCTTAAATTGGTTGGATGGTTTGCTTTAACAATTGCTACACACATTTAACCCCCCCCCCCCTCAGCTAAAATGTTGACATCAAAATGTTTCTTCTGCACCAAAAGTCCTATAATTTCATTTATAACCAAATACCTGCAACTTATACCAAACCTCAACCTTTAAACTAACGTAAATAAGCATTTTTAAGAATCGCCTTGGACTTTGGGAAGCAATGACGAACATGTTGTGGTAAATGCTGATAGTCAGCCTGTATTAGCATATCTTCTGACTGTTCAGCTGTTGACTGTTTTGGGGCTTCTGTAGAAGTTTCAAATAGCATTTAATTGACTCAAATACATTTTTTGATTGAATTCAGCCTTTTAGAGTGCAGTAATGAGTACAGCACCAGATCTGTTCCAGACGGAGAACCACTTTCCTTATGAGGATAATAATACATATTGTACAACATAGCATGGTGCATCAACTGAAACAGTAACATATTGGGTTCAATTCCAGTCTTTCTCCATCTCAAATGAAAAAAACATTGTCTGTATGTTAAAAAGTCACATCTGTGTCATCATACGAGCGTCTTCACTAACGACAGGTTCATCAGGAGCATCAGCACCATCAGGTGGAGGCTGCAGGTGTTCGGCGGCGCCTCGTTCTCCCCTCCCTCCCACCGTTCCCCCTGCTCGTCCTCCCACTCTGTCCTCTTCCTCTCCTTCTCCTCGTCTTCCTCCTCCTCCTCCCTCCTCGGCTCGTCGTCCTCCCTCACGATGTTGATGGAGTCGCATCTCTCGCCCTCGTGTCCCTCGTAGCAGTGGCAGCGAAACCTCTTGGTGAGCAGCTGCAGCTCGTGCTGAGAGTGCCAGCCGGTGACGGAGAAGTCCCCGTCGTTGGAGGGCTGGATGTGGTAGGAGGTGCCGCTCAGGTGGAGGTAGTGGCGGGCGAGGGGGTTTCGCCGGACGCAGCGGCCGTTCCCCTGGCACAGGAAGTCGCTGCAGACCTCGGCCGCTCGCGTCACGTTGGTGATGTACTGACCCAGGCGGTGGCTCAGCAACGTCTTCACCTTGGTGCAGTTAAACTGTGGAAATGGGAAAACACACAACTGTCAGGATGTGATGGAAGACTCCAGTTTTGCTCCTAGTTTAAGTTTTCAGTAGCAGTAGGCAGGTACTTACTGTACATCAAACCAGCTCTGATAAACCACTCGTAGCCTAATGGACTTTTTTAAATACAAGTGGTCACTCTACTTTCTAGCATTGGATACCAAATGTACGTGCCACTTGGCCCAAGGCACTGATTTTGAGGAACGCTTTTATTATTGTCTATGCCATTAAAGTTCACAAGATGTTTCAGAAAACATTGAAGACATTTAATGAGTTTTCAGTGCTTCCTAGTGTGATGGAAACTTCTGGAGCAATGGAGACTCAGAGAGACACGAGGAGAGAGCAGGAACTTTGATGGCAAACACTGACGGTTTATTTGGAGCTTCGGCCGGAGAATTCACAAGACATGAGCTGAGCCACGAGGTGACTCAGCGGCTGCCAAACCACTTCTGAAGATCTCTACCCCAGACCCATGTGTTTAGCCAGTTCTGAGAGAAGAATCAACATGCTGCATAACGAGATAAACCATAACACCTCTATCAGCTGACGCAACAGGCAGGAACAGGGAGACGAAACACAGAGAGCACAAATGCAAACGCTTTAATTTGTGGCTTTGCTACCCCCAGATTTCACACCAACATTGGGCCTTTTTAAACCTTTCTTTCTTTTACATGATGGAAATAGTTCACCAAGATGTGTTTCAGATGAGATTTGATGCGAGGAATAAACCGTGAAGTAGTTAAAGTCGAACAAACATCTAAATATCTGCTTTAAATGAATATAAAACACTCCCTGAGGCAGTCAGATGCTCTCTGGATGAACTCTTTTCCATGCAGACAGGATAACTGCAGGCCATAAAAACATGTGTATTATAGTTTTTAAAACTATATATATTAAATTGTCTAAGTGGTTTCACAACACGCAGCGACCACATGATGTCAGCTCTCTATTGTCTGGCTATATTTACAGCTGTGGTTTGTTTGGATTCCAAAACAAATGAAGACGCTCGAGGAAAGAATGTTTTTTTTAACAACACACAACTGCACAAATTAGAAAACATCTGACAGTAAATCAACAAATGACGTGTATTTAGATCTCTATCAATCATGTTCTAACAAAGGGAGTCAGGACATTCCCTCTGTGAGCAAGCTTTCAAAGAGAGAGGGTAAAGAGACACCCACCCTGGAGGAGGTGAGGTTCAGATCTCCCCAGATGACGAAGCCTGCAGCTCCCAGAGCAGCACTTTCTCCGATGGTGTGGATCAAGTCTTTCTGCAGGACACACAAAGGTACAGACGTCACACATTATGGTCTGTTTCCTTCACTGACACACAAGTAAAGTCATACAACACACATTTACTTTAGCACCAGGCCCAAAGTGCAAAAAAGTGATTCGTGAAGCACAATGAAATATACAATGACCGCCCTGGTCTCACCATGTTCGAATCACAAATCAAAACTCTCCTCTTCAGAACTGATTTTAAATCTGTCATTAATGTTGTGTTTTATATATTTCAAGTGTGTTGTTTTAATTATGTTTTTATGATTTTTTTAGTGTCTAGAAAAGCACTCTATTAAAAAAAAGCATTATTATTATTATTTAAAAGTCTTCAAGTTATTTATCAAAGGCAAGTTTATTCATATAGCACCTTTCAACACAAGGCAATTCAAAGTGCTTTACAAAAAATGAAAGACATTCAGAAAATGGCATTTAAAATCAGTCATTAAAAAGAAACGATAATAAAATTAACATTAAAAGAAAAAAATACATGGATAAAAGTTACAGTGCAGTTTAAGATGTGAATAGTTCAATTAAAAGCAGCGACAAAAAGAAAAGTCTTCAGCCTGGATTTAAAAGTAGTCAGAGTTGCAGCGGACCTGCAGGTTTCTGGGAGTTCCAGATATTTGGAGCATAATAACTGAACGCTGCTTCTCCATGTTTAGTTCTGACTCTGGGGACAGAAAGCTGACCAGTCCCTGAAGACCTGAGAGATCTGGATGCTTCATCATTTAGCAGGAGGTCAGAAATGTATTTTGGGCCTAAACCATTCAGTGCTTTATAAACCAGCAGCAGTATTTAGAAATCTATTCTTTGACACACAGGAAGCCAGTGTAAAGACTTCAGAACAGGAGTGATCCACTTTCTTAGTGTCAGTGAGGACTCGAGCAGCGGCGTTCTGAATCAGCTGCAGCTTCCTAATAGATTTTCTAGTGAGACCTGTGAAGACACCATTGCAGTAGTCGAGTCTACTGAAGATAAAAGCATGGACAAGTTTTTCCAAATCCTGCTGTGACATTAGTCTTTTAATCCTAGATATGTTCTTTAGGTGATAGTAGGCTGATTTAGTAACTGTTTTAATGTGACTGTTGAAACTCAGGTCAGAGTCCATGACTACACCTAGATTTCTGGCTTTATCTGTTGTTTTGAACATTGCAGACTGAAGCTCAGCGCTAACTTTTATACGTTCTGCCTTCGCTCCAAAAACCATTACAAAACTAAACTAAAATGCAAAACTGTTTTCTATCACATGCATGGATTTATCACAACATGTCATGAATCTGAAACCTGTACAAACAAATGGACATCATTATTGGTTAATGGGAGAAGAATTATGGGTTTGATCTGAGCTGCTTTTCTGTCAATCTCCACTAGATGGCAGGAGTGAGAACGAAAATGACGACCCTCAGTCAGTGCAAGCAGCCAATGTTGTGATTACAAATCCATCTTTGTGTCAGACATTTGTTGAAATGTCTTTATTAGGCAGTTTAAGTTGCATTGGATATTATGGCTTGTGAAGCTTCTCTACAACACACCCTTCTTCAGAAAGAAAATGTGGGTAAAATGGAAGAAAGAAAACTACTTTGACTAAATATGCAGGTTGAAGCTCCAGGCTGAAAGCTACAATAATGTGAGATCAAGTGAAAGTTTGCTGTTGATTTCTGCTGGAAACCACCTCTGAGATTTGTGAGTACTAACTCAACTTGCTGCTTGATTTGTTTCCAATCAGACTTGAGGGCAGCAGGCCATTGTTTCCGTTAAATTACATTTGCAGACTAAAGAAAACAGAATAATTGTGACTTAAAGGACATCTTATTTTTTGTATTAAACAGACAACTCTCATACCAGACGTGGTCACAGTGAAACACAAGTTAACATCGTCTCACTGTGACTGGGTCGCTATAAAAACAGGCTGTGGCTAAAGAAATATATCTGTGCAATATGGAGCTGCAGCAGTTCAGACAACTTTGGACTCATTTGGAAAAGAAGCAGATTAGAACAGAAAAGGAGAAACACATCTATTTCATGAGACAGGTGCATTGTAGATCAAAAGTTGTCAAAACTCAAGTCATGTGACCGTGCTGTAGTTCCTTCGCCTAAGATAAGCTTTTAACTGCAGAAATTGGTGTTACATGTGGAGATTATCCTGCTGAACAAAAAGTGTTAGTCTCCTAAACGTTTGTTTGCCACAGAGCTTATTTTCTGCAAAGATTCAATGGAAAATACTTATTCCTTTTTGTCGCGGGAGCCGTTGCGATGCTTACTAAATTACTTACCAATCAGAGCTAAGTATGTAAATCACATGCTCAGTACTGTACAAACCATGGATGTATAATAAGAACTGGATACAGCGTGGGAGGCGGGGTCTCGTTCTTTCCTATGAGAGCTGCTCATTGGCGCATGAAGACAAAATGGCCCAACTTTTGAGAGAGCGAAACGTCACAGATTACCCAGCATGCCTGGCTGTCAGAGCAGAAGTACCCGTGTGTGCGCTCATAGAGCATGCGCAGTTGAGTTGCCCCTTAAGCCCCGCCCCTGAGCTCCCACTCTCAGATGCGCGTTCATAATGCCGAGGAAAATAACTCTCAGAATAACGTTATTAGCACCTTTTACAACTTGAGGACCGATTTTTTTTAATAAGGGCTATACAAATGTTCATAATGGGTAATTTATTTAGTTTCAAAAAAATTATCCAATGATTTACGTCGTTTAGACGTCTCTTTCCCAATGTAAGTCATTAGGCGCATTCACACCGCAGTACTTTTCCCACAAAGGTTCATGAGAACTTAGTTCATGTGAACTCTTTTATCGCGTTCACACCAAAAAGAGCCGGTACTATAATTAGTTCATGTGAACCTTTTTACCCCCTCGAAGGTCCCTGCTAGAGAGCAGGGACTTTCGTACGGCTCTCTTGTGAGAAAAGAGCTATATTTCTGATTGGCTGGGCGGATTGCAAACCACGCCCGGTAAAACTCCCAAAAAGTTTTGTGAAGCCGCCATTTTATTATCCTCGCATTAGCATTATTAGCATTAGCATTAGCCCAGCGCAGAAACGCAGAGAGACTAACTTATGGCAACACAAAATAAAACATGGGAGCGGTGGAGATGAGGAGGTGTCGGCGTTCTGGCGATTTTACTCGGAAGGCTTCAGTAGAAGCTGCTGGGAGTCCCAGCAGCTTCTACTGAAGCCAGTCCCTAACTCCGGGGACTTCCGGCCGGGGACTTTGGGCGGCAGTATACGCCGTGAAGTGGTTTGCGGCCTGCCAGTAAACCCAAAGCAGAAGAAGAAGAAGTGACGTCAGCGGCTTCATTTGCCTAATCCTCCCCCAGGGATTTATTCCGGTGTGAACGCGATCTGTACTTAGTTCATGAGAACTAAATAATTCTCATGAACTAAGTTCTCATGAGCCTTTGTGGGAAAAGTACTGCGGTGTGAATGCGCCTAATGGGAAAAAGTGTTTCCGAGCAGCAACCCATACGGAAGTGTAGTACCGCCGTTTGGCCACAACGAATATTTTCCTCAGAGTCCGGCGCACTTCCTGGGGGCTTGGTACAAACAGCAGGGCATCCACATCGTTTAGCTAAACATCTCTCTTACCATGGTGAGGAAGGCCATGGCCTCGTCCCTGTAGCCCAGCCTGAGGTACACGTACGTGGGCAGCTCGTACTCCCTGGAGGTGAGCGCGGCGACGCGGAGCGACTCTCGGATCCTGTGCTGGGCGAAGTGCCGGTTGCTGATGCTGTTGGAGTGACTCTTCTTGATAGCCACGGAGGGGAAGAGCGCCGTGCTGCTGTTCCAGAGCCACATCAGCTCGTCGTTCCTCAGCCTCTCCAGCAGGGGGCAGAAGCCGGTGTAGTTCTGCTCGTGCTGGTTGTAGTTGTGGCAGTCAGGGTAGAGGTAGAATCCCCAGAGTGCATTGGGGCGAAGGCGAGTCCCCAGCTGGATAGTCCTTTGCATGAACGCTTTGGCGCTCTTTTCAAACCTCCTTCGTGCAAGCTCCTCCACTTGAGCATCCGTCACGTTTACAAACGCCTTGGCGGCCAGTTCTTTGGACTTTTGCCGGTAAATGTCCTTCTTGTGCCAGTTACGGCTCCATTGAGGCCGCCAGAACTCCCAGTCGATGACGGCGAGGCCACGGAAATCCTCCGAAGGGATGAAGTGGTTAATATCCTGGTAGGCCTTTACAAGATGGAGGTCCAGGCTGCAGTTCTGAGGCAGGCCACCGTGCACCGCCACACCCTGAGGCGTGTAGTAAGGGTAGTACCTGTTAGAAAAGGTTAGGTTAGGCATGAGCTTCAATCTCAGGATCCATGTATTTGTGATCCTCTCCAGAATGGAAGGAGTCATCACATACAGAGCATCAACTAGTTCCTGAACAGTGTCCTTCACATGCTGATATCCAAGAGAGGGAGTTACACAGTCACAAGATGGAGGAATAGAAAGCAGTATTCAATGTTTACTTCAGATTAGCTCCACGTCAGAAATGAGCATGCTTGATGTCTCTCTCCATAGAGGCTGAATCATCATGTTAATCACATAGCTATCATATGCCTCTAACAGTCCTGATGCTCTTCTAGGTAATCACACATCCTGTCATGTTCACAGCTACAGTTGGGACTTTGTTATCATGTGCTACTCTAATATTGGAAGAGTACATTCAGTATTTTCCCAACAGTACCCCAGACGGTTGGCGTAGAAGATGGTGACGTTCTGACCCGTCCAATCGGCCCGCGGGCTCCCGTGGATGTGGAAGAGGCGTTCAGCGTTCGTGGTCACGTTGTACTTGATGGTGCACATGTCCAGTGGGGCGTTCCAGGCGGCGATGAACGGCTTGCGGGGAATCAGAGGCAACTTGGCGGGCTTCTGACCGAAGGCGGCGTGGATGAGAAGGAGCAGCCAGGAGCAGGTGAAGGCGACGGGGACGACCTGATTGGTGGAGGAAGCCCCGCCCACCGGCACCACGGGCATCCTGGGGATCAGGAGGAGCAGCTGTCAATCATCCTGAAGACAGATGGAGGGGGAGGGAAGAGAAAAACAGAAACGTTGAATTTTTTTTTTTCTAAACTTCATCACAACCAACATTAGCCGCCTTTAGCTTAGCGGTGGTGACGTGAAGTCATGTGACAAACATGTTTGTTTGTTATTTCATTGTTTTGATATTGATATCATTTCTCTTTCCAGGCCTGTTTAGAAAGTGGTGCCGGAATGAATCCCGAACCGAGTAATGAGTCAGCATTTGATCACTTCTGGGTTCCCTTGTTTCGGACTCAATGAGTTTTCTGAACGTGTTTTTGGTAGTTATGGTGAAATAAGGTCTGTGGTTAACGCAAGCTGAAGAGATTTTAATGTTTTGCACTTCACCCTGCTTACAGACGGACAGAATAAGCTCTTAATGACAGTGTGGATTCTCCTAAACTTCATTTGACCCTGGAACTGTTTTGATATTGTTTGTGAGTTTATGGATGAGTTTTACAGTTTTTGTAAAATGACTCGTGAAACATATAATCCACAGCTTCTGTCTTCTAAATAAACATGTGTTTTACTGTCAGCACAATACAGGATCGTGACAGCTTTTACATGTGATTTTATGAGCCGTCTGTTAAGTCTGTTAAAACATCTGGATGTATTCGGCATGCTGACACGCTGCAGAAATTACATTTTCATTTATTTTCCAGCTGTTGACATTTAAAATTCCTCGGAGATCCCCTTTAATACGATGGACAGACATACTGACTGTTTTAATACTGGAATATTGCAACTTAATGAATTTGAATAATTGCCTACATTTTCTAAAGTAATAAACATTAAAAGAAATCCAAAGAAAATGTGGATTCGCGATCTTGAATTGATCGTCTGTTTTTGGGTGATTTGGTCTCGGTAACATCTGTATTCTGCTGAGTCTCATTACCTGTTAAACATAACTGTACAAGCTTTAATTAAAGTGCTTACTTGAAGAATATATCAATGGTTATTATTTGTATTTTTACAATAGATTAGTCGTTTCTTATTTTCGAGGATTTGCTGCTTTCTTTGTCTAATGTGATTTAAAACTGAATATCTTTGGGATGTTTTCAGATAAAAGCAGATATTTAAAGACTCCACTAGCAAATTGTTGTGGGCGTTTTCCCTTTTTTAATATATTTTACAGAAGATTAACAAATAAACTGATAAAGAGAGAACTTGGCACATTATTTGGCCATGAAAAAGTTATTTATTGCAGCCTTAATCAAGTATTTCCATGAAATTAGCTGTTGATATACTGTATTTGCTCCCCAGAGGATGATTTGTTTGTATATGTTGGCCCCACTTTGTACTCTTTTCACTACAGGCAAGAATTCAGACTGCATTCTGTCTTTTGTCCTCTGAGACATAAATAGTCCTTGGTTCTTCCCATGGCACCCGGGGGTCAGAGGTCACAGAGAGGAAGTGAGTTGACACCCAGGGACTGTAAGGAGGACTTCAGCTGTTTTCTGTCCGCACCTCCTCTCACCACAGCCTCAGGCCACAATGACAGGCTTCACTGCCAAAATCCTCAGAGAGGCTCAGTGTTGCGTCTACAACAGCTGGAGGAATCCAATATGAAGTCAGAGAGAAGAAGGAGACAAAATCTGACGTTTGATTTCATTTCTTTCTGTCATGCTTTCACCAAAGATGCTCTGTAACTAAAGATGATGCATTACCACGAGGCCCAGAGTGAGTGGTGGAGTGATGACGTATTTTTGTAGGCCAACCCGAAAGATAACAAGAGCTGCTTCGACAAAAAGCCAATGGGGCTTTTCCATTTCCACACGTTTATAATACTAACACGTTTTGTTCAGCAGGAAAATCTCCACATTTTAACACCACTTCATGATTTGTGAAGTAAAAAGCTAACATCAGGCTATAAACAAACTACAGCACGGTCACATGACTTCACGACACCACTGCTAAGCTAAAGGCGGCTAATATTGGCCTATAAAGGAACTACAGCACAGTCACATGACTTCACGTCACCACCGCTAAGTTAAAGGTGGCTAATGTTGGGCTATAAAGGAACTACAGCACAGTCACATGACTTCACGACACCACCGCTAAGCTAAAGGTGGCTAATGTTGGGCTATAAAGGAACTACAGCACGGTCACATGACTTCACGTCACCACCGCTAAGCTAAAGGTGGCTAATGTTGGGCTATAAAGGAACTACAGCAGTGCACGGTCACATAACTTCACGTCACCACCGCTAAGCTAAAGGAGGCTAATATTGGGCTATAAAGGAACTACAGCACGGTCACATGACTTCACGTCACCACCGCTAAGCTAAAGGCGGCTAATGTTGGGCTATAAAGGAACTACAGCACGGTCACATGACTTCACGTCACCACCGCTAAGCAAAAGGTGGCTAATGTTGGGCTATAAAGGAACTACAGCAGTGCACGGTCACATGACTTCACGTCACCACTGCTAAGCTAAAAGTGGCTAATGTTGGGCTGTAAAGGAACTACAGCATGGTCACATGACTTCACGTCACCACCGCTAAGCTAAAGGTGGCTAATGTTGGGCTATAAAGGAACTACAGCAGTGCACGGCCACATGACTTCACGACACCACTGCTAAGCTAAAGGTGGCTAATGTTGGGCTATAAAGGAACTACAGCACGGTCACATGACTTCACGTCACCACCGCTAAGCTAAAGGTGGCTAATGTTGGGCTATAAAGGAACTACAGCACGGTCACATGACTTCACGTCACCACCGCTAAGCTAAAGGTGGCTAATGTTGGGCTATAAAGGAACTACAGCAGTGCACGGTCACATGACTTCACGTCACCACCGCTAAGCTAAAGGAGGCTAATATTGGGCTATAAAGGAACTACAGCACGGTCACATGACTTCACGTCACCACCGCTAAGCTAAAGGCGGCTAATGTTGGGCTATAAAGGAACTACAGCACGGTCACATGACTTCACGTCACCACCGCTAAGCAAAAGGTGGCTAATGTTGGGCTATAAGGAACTACAGCAGTGCACGGTCACATGACACCAGAGGGAGCTCCACAAATCATGTGAAACCCAGATTTGGCACAAAAAAGGGGGAATACACGTTTCGCAATTATGCCACATCAAGGTGGAACGCTCTTCCCACAACTGTAAGGGAAAGTAAAACTATACTTACCTTCAAAACCTCTCTTAAAGAGCACCTTCGGGGGAGAGCATTGCAAAACTGGCCCCGGTAATGGTACAAATCTCAACCTGTCGTTCAATGGACAGCTTTCCCCCCCCCCATCTATGTATATACTCGCATTTTAGACTCTGTTACTAACTGTATATCTGTAGACTTGGTATGTCTTAAATGTCCGGTTAGGATGTATTAGAACGAAATCTAAAATGAAAATTGTAAATAAGCAATCTGTATGTAAAAAACCACCTGTATGTAAATTGTAAATAAGCCATCTGTATGTCAAATATGTCTTATATGTCTTAAATGACATGATGAATTGGAAATGGGGGACCCTGATGTAAACAAGACGAAAGTCTTTCTCTGGTCTGCATCCCCTTAACAATTGTATGTTTTGAGCTGTACTGTACTGTACCCAATATACAAGCTGTTAATAAACTTTTCAATCAATCAATCAATCAACTTCACGTCACCACTGCTAAGCTAAAAGTGGCTAATGTTGGGCTATAAAGGAACTACAGCACGGTCACATGACTTCACGTCACCACCGCTAAGCTAAAGGCGGCTAATGTTGGGCTATAAAGGAACTACAGCACGGTCACATGACTTCACGTCACCACCGCTAAGCTAAAGGCGGCTAATGTTGGGCTATAAAGGAACTACAGCACGGTCACATGACTTCACGTCACCACCGCTAAGCAAAAGGTGGCTAATGTTGGGTTATAAAGGAACTACAGCAGTGCACGGTCACATGACTTCACGTCACCACTGCTAAGCTAAAAGTGGCTAATGTTGGGCTGTAAAGGAACTACAGCATGGTCACATGACTTCACGTCACCACCGCTAAGCTAAAGGTGGCTAATGTTGGGCTATAAAGGAACTACAGCAGTGCACGGCCACATGACTTCACGACACCACTGCTAAGCTAAAGGTGGCTAATGTTGGGCTATAAAGGAACTACAGCACGGTCACATGACTTCACGTCACCACCGCTAAGCTAAAGGTGGCTAATGTTGGGCTATAAAGGAACTACAGCACGGTCACATGACTTCACGTCACCACCGCTAAGCTAAAGGTGGCTAATGTTGGGCTATAAAGGAACTACAGCAGTGCACGGTCACATGACTTCACGTCACCACCGCTAAGCTAAAGGAGGCTAATATTGGGCTATAAAGGAACTACAGCACGGTCACATGACTTCACGTCACCACCGCTAAGCTAAAGGCGGCTAATGTTGGGCTATAAAGGAACTACAGCACGGTCACATGACTTCACGTCACCACCGCTAAGCAAAAGGTGGCTAATGTTGGGCTATAAGGAACTACAGCAGTGCACGGTCACATGACACCAGAGGGAGCTCCACAAATCATGTGAAACCCAGATTTGGCACAAAAAAGGGGGAATACACGTTTCGCAATTATGCCACATCAAGGTGGAACGCTCTTCCCACAACTGTAAGGGAAAGTAAAACTATACTTACCTTCAAAACCTCTCTTAAAGAGCACCTTCGGGGGAGAGCATTGCAAAACTGGCCCCGGTAATGGTACAAATCTCAACCTGTCGTTCAATGGACAGCTTTCCCCCCCCCATCTATGTATATACTCGCATTTTAGACTCTGTTACTAACTGTATATCTGTAGACTTGGTATGTCTTAAATGTCCGGTTAGGATGTATTAGAACGAAATCTAAAATGAAAATTGTAAATAAGCAATCTGTATGTAAAAAACCACCTGTATGTAAATTGTAAATAAGCCATCTGTATGTCAAATATGTCTTATATGTCTTAAATGACATGATGAATTGGAAATGGGGGGACCCTGATGTAAACAAGACGAAAGTCTTTCTCTG